GAACATTGACTGACCGATGGTTCGCGCGTATGACCACAACATAAGTGGGGTCGTAGCATATAATAATAGTAAAATATAAGTCTCCTAAACTAGTATTAATACTGTACACAGTCTGTGTAAGGTGGTGATAATGCTTAGTTATGTGCCATACCTATATAAATAAAATATATACAAATTGAATGGCAAAAACCTTCTTAAGTAATTAACTCAGAGCTGACATGATAAAGGTAAAAATATTAATCACAGCTTTGGGTTATTGCATGGGGTTTCAAGAGGAGCCCATAGTTATTGTAAATGTTTAGAATTATTTGTCAGGAATAACTTAGCTGATGCTACAAAATGCAGATCCATGAGCGAGAAATTACATGACCTAGAATGCCTTAATAGAATATTATTAACTATAAAGAAAGCAAATAGAAACATTTTGTTATAGCAGACTTAGAACCTGAAAGTCTGCTTTTACTTGGGCTAATGGGAACACTATAACTATTTTATATAATTAATGGTTGGTTATATTTTGCTCATATTTTGAAAATAAGTTCTGCAATCATTATAGTTCAGTACTTTTCTCCTAGAAAAATTGTAGAGAAATGAATTAAGCTCAGGAAACCTTACTCAATGTTGATTGGGATAATGCCATTTGGAAATTAGTTCAGTGTATTTGATATACAGTGCAATTGATGGTAATTTATTGATGATGGTAAACACTGGTTATCTTGTTAACATAAATATTTGTCATTCTGTAAAGTATTCACAAATAGACACACAAGGATAACACAACCCTTATCTAATCTTGGTAACATGTTATTACATGTATTCATATTTATTTCCATATATTGTCTCTAGTAAGGGAAATATTTACCCCAGTTGAAAATCAATACTGAATATGTTCTTGTCAGTTGAGAATCGGAGAAATTGGAATATTTGGACTAATTCTAGAGAATTTATGCACAAAAGGAAAAATCACACTGATATTACTTGCTCATCACAATTATGTACATGTATTATTGAACTCAAGTATAAACAATTAATTATTCATAATAGCATTTCATCAATATTAAATATACTCTTCTCTCTAGACCCACTATCTTATATTCACTAGACCAGAGGAAGTGGTGAAGTGAACTTTACAAAGTAACATTTGAATAGCAACACACTCGTTAAACTGACATTGTCACTGGTTGGCATTGGAATAGAATGAATTATTACTACATCGTGTGTATTGCCAATAATCTGACTGTAAACAAGCTCTTAACTACAGGTGAACCCAGGTACTATTATTGCCCCTTCTTAATGTATAATGTACGTCAGGTATTATGTTTTATAATCAGTTAATCATGATTTAAAGTGTTCATGTATATACTTAGTACTGAACCTAAAACATGAGCATGAATCATAATATTCATATTAGGTAGACTAGTAAATTTGGTGATATGATTTTTAACTGAACCTTTGTTTACATCATACTCGAACCAGGTCCTAAACTTCTTACACCCAGCTCACCTTAAAAGCAGTATGGGTAAGAGGGCATCAGCATTGGACAAATGACTGACCAAAAGTCGAATCTTTGTCCAGAATGTCTTAAAGTTTGTTAACACATTGTTTACAATGATTTGACTACAATGACAATAGACAAGCAAAATATCACCACCTGCCATTTGTTAGATTTTACACATGCTGAACACCAACTGACGCCATGAAAAATTGGAGACTTTAACAATATGTCACCACTTCTATCTTGGGGTAGTGACATAAAAATGCTTATACTGTTGAAAGTAATCGACTGTAAGTCCGAGATCATGATGTATAATTGGAACAGAAGATGATATATTTCTAGCTGTATTTTTCTTATTATCTTTTCCAAGACAATTTGTGAGTTACGAGCGTATCTGACATATAACATGACAAAAACTGTGAGTTAAGACCATATCGACCTCAACATAATAAGGAATAAAATTAGAAAATAAATTTACACTTGTTCTCACTTTTCCTGCTGTAAATCTTTTTATTCTAAATGAACTTCAGTAGATATCATTATTGACCCAAGCTTTTTATCAGTAGATGTTTTTGTCATGCAATTAATTAATCTGCATAATGGTCCCAATATTGCCCGCATCTAAGAACCATCTTTATTATATCATCAGGAAATACTGAGAAAATTCTACTGATATAACACTTGTGTTTTCTGATAAATCATAATAAAGGGTGTGTACAAGGTACACGCTGTTTCATAAAGTGTTTTATTTGATTATGGTAAATCATTCTTGAATGAGCCATGTACTGTGTTTGTTAATCAAAGCTATTTTATGTTTATATTGACTCGAGGTATGACCGTGCAGAATAAAATATATCACAGTGTTCTGTATATATAGCCCCCTTCCAGGTTATAAATAAAGATTTTTGGAAAAAGGTCCAAGGGACCAATTTATTCGCATTCAATTCTATAATTGAAAAAACTAATGTGTGAACCAAAAAGACAACCAAATGGGTTTAATCAGAGAATCTAGAATGACAAGGCAAGCACTTTAATTCAATTTCTTTGCAAGGGCCTTTGCTCTTTAAAACATTCATATCATGGTGAGATTTTTGAGAATAATTTAAATGTTTATAATTTCAAAAACCAAAATTGTACATACATCTTGGTTGAAAGTGAATTATACATAGACTTGGACAGAGCAAAAAGTTGTGTTTAACATAATTTAAATTGATTGTAAGGTATTATGATGTAATTACGATGTGATTATTAGAGTACAATAAAGATGAGAACATTGACTGTCAACTACAACTATTTATTTATTATTTTATTATTAATTCACATTGATTATCAATTTCTTATCAAATAAACACCCACAGGCGAACCCCCCCCCCCCTGGCCAATATTTCTTTCAAAATCATGCAGTTTTTCACTAGAATTTTTTGGAAAAGTGAATTCCCTTGGAAAATTCTGGCTACAGGCCTGATCTATGTTTATATATTATATATATATTACAGTAAAACTTTCTTATTGAATACCTTTCATCGATAATAAAGATCAACATCTTAACAACTTTGTGTATAATATATTTTAGCTTTTTGGTAAATATTTTTAACACTGGGTCCCTGCCACCCGGAATGGTATTTAATAGCAAATCACGCCACAACTGTTATAATATGGCAATATGGCACAACCTAACACCAGTCATAATATGAGAGAATTTCCAATTTTCAATCTGAGTGTCATCTGCCATCATCATCTTCACATATTAAGACCTACTTTAAAACATATTTTCCACGAATTTGAACACATCTTTCATACCGCTTTACCAATGAATGGAAGACATTTATGAAACCGCCATTCCTTATGTGATACAAATGCTGCTGGAGTACCACTCTAAACCTCATCCAATGAGTAAAAAAACATTTTCTTTCAACCATCCTTTCAACTTTGAGAAAATGAAGAAAATCACACGGAGCCATATCAATCAATAATATCAATAATAGTGAGAATATCTTGTAGTATTATTTGTTCCACTTTGATTTCTTTTATGTTCTGCATTTCAGCAGCCATCTTGAAGCAAAAATGATACTGAATGAGGGTTGCTTGTCTAATGTCATTTTCTTAGAATTTGACATATATGTCACATCTTGTCATATGTGACATTATAATTAAAACACAATTAATTGGTTGCCTAGTAACAAAGGAAGTAAACTAAAATGGTTTAACATTCTAAATTCAAAGAAAGATAGTGGTGAATACTTGTGAAACAAGTCAAATGGCGGCAACATTAAAGCTGAAAGTTGTCATGTGCGAATACCGTTCCGGTTAGCAGGGTCCCTATATTAAAAACTATCTAGAAAACTACATAAAACATATCATTTCTCCATGAAATTAATACACAAAGTAGTTAGGTTGTTGGTCTTTATTATTGGAAAGTTTAAAGTGATTTTATCAAAAAACCCAAAAATTAGACTTTTGGATCACCCCCTAACACTGAACATTTTTTCTCGGCAAAAAATTGCAAATTATACAGGTTTTACGATATACATGTATTTCTTTGATTGAGTTTTGCTTTCAAGAAGTTAATAGATCTAAAGATCATCTTTAAATCATTTGGAGGTAAACATGTCCCTTTCGAAAAGCAAATGGCGGAGGCATGAAGATTTAACAGGCAAAATTACATCGAGATTTATGGATTATTTATTAGCAAAACTTTTGCTTCATTTTTTGATTCAATCCTTGAGATAATGAGTCTTAGGTGTCTCCTAGGCATGGGCTTTCAACAGAACTCAACCATTAATCTTCAAAAATAATATTTACTACACCAACATCTCATCGATTCTCACATAAGACTTAGATAAAATTCACCTGTCCTAGATTTACCTGTCTTACCTGTTTCATAATTTTCGAATAATTTGACCTGGTCCGAGAAATTCATATTGTTTACAAACTTATTTCAACTGTAAAAACTCCATTGATTTCGAAACATATCACCGAAATAGATTCAACATATATTAAAATTAAAATATTCTTACCTTTAAATGCTGTTGAAAGCTGTAAAATGCTGATAAACGATAAAAATGCGAGGATCCAAGTAATTTTGTGCGAATTTATTCCGGCCATTTTGATTGATGGGGCAACATAAGGCGAGATCTTAGAATTTCACCCGGGAAATAATAACATTCGACTTAATTTGATTCATCTTATTTTTATGGATAATAGTTACAGTATTTGTGATTTGAATAGTTTGATTCGGTATGAAAGTGTCAATAATATCAAAATATCTCTGAATTTCACTCAAGTTGGATAGATAAAGAAATTTGCGCAAAGAAGTACACACATGCGCAAATGCCATAGAGAAGAGCATTGGTTCAATCCTCTCTATGATCATCTATATCTATTTATGTTAGTAATTTTCGAAATACTTCTAAGAGAATATAATAGACATTTATGTTTTTTAGATTGAAAAACAAAGATTTACGTTTACCGGGGTGTATTTTGGTTCTATCTAGTATCAACTTTTGAAGACTTCCGGTTGGGCTGGAAAGGAAAATGTAAGTTTCCATAAATATTATGATTATTTGCTTTTAGACTCCTCTTTAAGTCAGTTTCTTCATCTCTCACATCAGATGGAGTATCATACTATGACAATGAACCACAATGTCTGCTGTTAGATTCAAATTACATCTATAAAATTCGTCTTGAAATTGAACATCTCTGGAAAAATTCTAAAGTGGGGACATAAATAAATGACAGGTGGATTTGCTGAAGTGAGGATTTCCCATGTTAAAAATAAGAGAATTTACAAGAGGCCATAAATCAGTGGATGAGATTATACAAAATGTAAAATATACAAATTTTAAGGGATATGTATCTAGACAATATTGGAAATTATGGGCTTTCAGACCACCATAATTAGGAAATGGTGATCGAAAATCGACCTTTTTTTGTCCCCAACTGTAGGCCTAATTGGGCTAGGAATTAGGATAGATCTTGTTCAACAAGTTAAACCTAGTCTAGGCCTTATTTCTTATCTGAGATATCTTGTGGCCCGTCCTAGGTTTAACGTCCTTGCCTATTCGGCCCTTGATGCATAAAATTTAATGGTGGCCTATGGCAGCTGATAGTGAGAATTTGCAACCAATAAAAGCATAGCCTGGAAGTTAAACCCAATCACGTCAACAATTACATTCAGGAGGTCATTAACAGAACTTTCGCAAAGTTAAGAATTCGTAATTCGTAACTTTATGAAATTCGTAAATATTTAAAAAGTTACGGATGACTTACGAATTCATAAAGTTACAAATCAGCCATTAACAGAACACTTTCGTAAGTCATTCTTAAGTTTTATCGCTCGTAAACGAATTTCAAATCGTCATCTTATATCATTATTTAGCACAAATAAACATATGATGTCATTTGATATCATTGCGCGCTGTGATTAAACCTGTCTCCGCGATTTCAAAGATTCCCAGCTCAGGAACATATTTGCTTATCATGTAAGAATAGGTGGATATTTTAGCTTGAAACTTAGCATGCATATAAAGAACAATTTCTTTTTGCCAACCTGTATACCTTACATGAGAATTGGATGAGAAATATGCCATTGGCAAAGTTATGAAAGGGTCTGAGGTGCTATTACAAACGAAAGCACATGTGACGTCATTTTTTCGTAACTTTGCGAATCGTTCGTAACTTTACAAAAGTTCTGTTAATGCACATTTACCAAATTCGTAAAATTAACAATTGAATTGCGAATTTGTAACTTTGCGAAAGTTCTGTCAATGACCCCCAGATTAATAAATGAAAGCCGTGGTATTGGGTTTAACTTGTTGAACTAGAATAGATCTAGCCTTACTTCCTGCGAAAGCTATGTGGATTTTGATATAATAGCTTTCCCAAAGCGTACTTGGACAGCTGAATAAATAATAGTGACCTTTAAAACATGAATAATGAGATCCGCGGCTTACTTTTGGTCTCTTACTGTGTCTCACATCAGTATCATCAATCCGTGCAAGTATTGGAGCGATGAAATACTTCTTTTTCGATCAAGACTTGTAAATTGTTCATCGAGTGAATGTTTTTTCGACCCATTTCCAATATGGTGGTTTGCTAGGAGCGAGATACGCAATGAACGAAATGAATTTTGAGAATGAGTTAGGTTCGGACAACCTCCAGAGATTTATGAAAATGTCTGAGCAGAAAACGCCATATTGGAATTTGGCAGAAAAAACATTCACTTGACTAACAATTACATTAGTCTTGAATTTGGTGCCAAATAACCACTTGTCTGTTTGATCTGCAACAATATAGTTCCAAGATTATGTGCTCAGTAAAAACTCAGAGGGGGAGAAACACCAGGGTTCAAAGATGACATACGCTTATAATGTAAATCTGTATTGAGATCACATCGTCGCTGATTGGTCAAAAGTCGACAAACAAATGACGTCATCAATGGCGGTTTCAAAGTTTTCGAACTATGCTTCGAATAATATTATCTTCATTTCTGGCGTGTTAACCAATATCATAGCATCTCATTTCACATCAAGATAAAGAAAGGTGTACGGAATATGCCTATATCAATTTTAAACATCCCATCGAAGTGTAGTATTTGATAACTAGCCGATGAAAATTCGAACGAACGAAGGTGGTAAGCAAGAGAGGTAATTATGTCTGTCATCTTTAAACTCTGGGGCTTTCCCTCCTCTTGTAAAAACTAGTTAAATTTTTTCATACAATCATTTTGAAAGAATAAGTTCACAGAAAATAAAATGAAAAAATTAGAAAAGAATTAGAAAGCAACAACTTTTATGTCAGATTATTTTAAGTCCCTACAAAAATAGTGACCATGGGATAAATATGATATCCTATGATTTTCTCAGATTGTGTAGATAGATAGATTTCATAGATTTCTCTATGATTTTTGAGGAATACCATTTTTATCCATGAATCAAAAATCATAGGATATCCTCTATATATGTTATGCAAGGCTGGAATATATTTGGAAGAAGATTAAGTCAACAGGACCTTTTAGCACTACAGACATGTAAAATATTGAGATCGAATATGTTTCAAATATTTTGCTTTTAAATTCATTGACAAGTCGAATCCCTTCCCCGAAAGCATGGGACTGAAGTCCTGGATATCAAAATAGTCACAATCCTATCAAACTACAAAAGATGAGTTTGCAGTTTTGCTAACAGTTTTTAAGATTTTTTTGGGGAGGGTCTAATCCCGGGTGTCTAATTTACCAATTTCGGCCCAAAATCAAGAAAAGTGCATGATTTTGAATAATTTTTGGCTGGGGGGATGATAGTAAATTGTGCATAGTGCCATCCTATCGCATCACCCTGTCAAAATCTGTTCAAACAAATAGAAGATAACTAAAACCATGGGCTTTCTCATGAACTATAAGTATGAAAGTATAGATAATTAATCATAAATCCTTTTTTAGTGTAATTTAAAAGTTCTGCTTGTTTCATATCCTTTTAAAGTCTATTTCTTTCATCTGTCTAAATGATGTTAGTTTCTACAATACACTTTCATGTTGATTTTCTGTTGAAAGCCCATGCTTTATCTACCCTGCGTGCAGAGTCTAGTTAAACTACACTCTGCCTAGTAAAGACCATAGTACAGTTTAGTAGCCCCACCCCCACAACGGGTATCGGTGACAGTTTGGGTAATAAATCACTATTGACCTACACGCTGACCTTTCTTCCACCAATCAGTGAGCTTGAAAAACATACGCCAAATGCGTTCTAATTAAATATGCGCATGTCATTGGTCAATTCCGGGCTCAACGATGACGTCAGAAGGAATGACCATATATAGAACGTCGGTCAAATTTGGCCGACGAACACTGATTGGCGCGGTGAGTTCACAGGTTTATTTTAGTTTGAAAGAGTGAAGACGAAGCTCTCTTTTAAGAAGTGAAGTCAAACGAATGCAAAGGGTATGCTTTATCTGAATATCTCTATCAAAACAATGCCACATCAAAAGTTACTTATCTGAGTCACAATCTAATATTGCTACATGTTACCTGTAATTATGGATAATCAGCCAATTAAAGTCCACTTATCAGGTACTTTTGTTCTGAGGTGTTATAAGAGAATGCACATGTGAGATGAAATGTGTCATTTAAGTTTGGGAATAAGAAAAGAGAAGATACACTGTAGAGTTGAAAACTAAATTTCAGTGAAAATATAATATGATAGAAAACAGAGTTGAAGTTGCGAATTAAAGTGATACAGAGAGAACATTGCTGGAAACACAGGTAACTTGAATAGAAACATTATATACAGGAAACATTTTCTGTGGAACATGTATTTTGCTTACATGCATGTAAAGGTCTTGTATTTCTTGCTTTGGGTTCTTAATATACATACATAAATAAATTATACACCAAAGGTTCAGGTTGGTTGAAATCTATTATAATGTCAAAAATACAGAGCATAAGTGCATTGTAGACTAATATAAATGCAAGTAGAAATAATCTCGATTTACATCATTAAAAAGTCCAAATTCAGTCAAATTGATATCATATTTGAAATCTACATCTAGTAATGTGGTTTAAAAAGTGTTTATCAATATTGAAAATTTTACTTTCCTTGAAAATGTGACTTCTAGGTTGAGGAGATTCCCCATAGACGACACCCCATGTTATAAAATCATGACAAGTGAAATATCTTTTCTTGTATTGGACGGATAATAAATCTTTTATTGGACATGTTTCAATTTGTAGAACTATCAGATACACAAGAGTAGAAGAATATATGAATTTTTAAATAGAATCTATGCATCTAAAATGGGTCATATTAAGAATTATTAAGGGTCTATTTTCAGAGCAGTAGTTTTGTTAACCTAAACTATTTTCATCTTGTGAAAGAGATTTGGCCTTCGTTTAATAGTACATGTATTGTAAACTTTTTATTTCAGTGAATTAGGACCATCCACATCCACATGCAGATATTCATGCTCTCTGAATGTCATTAAACATGGGAAACCTGTGTAGTGCCCAGTCAGGGAGTGAGGAGGAGCCCCTTACTCCCTCCCAGGAGAACCTACCAAAGATACCTGACCACCACAAGGTTGCCTTAGAGACTCTAGCTCAGGAATCCATCAATAATAAAGATGTGCTGTCCCATACTAGGAACTCTGTAGAAGCTGATGACCTTGTGGTTGTTAATGATGTGAAGCCAATGTTGGCAGAAACTGGACTGCAGTGTGTGCTCCAAAGAATAGACAAAGTTGATCAAGTTAAACATAGATATCAGTTGAACAATAATGGTAAGATGGAAACAGACACAAAACATCTGGGTAGCTCAAGCACTGAATGTAATACTGATACATTGACGAATCCTATAGATAGCAAGATTGAAGGACAAACTATAGCACCAGTGCATAGATCAAAATATACTGCAGAACACGCATCAGTTTTGCATCACCCTTCAGGTACTTCAGCTATGCCCTCTACATCAAGTCAAACTGAGTCTAGTTTTATCCATGAAGGAATCAAACATCAAGTTGAAGTTACAATGGAGACAGGTCCTGAGAAGAATACCATTGTCAATAGCATAATATCTGAGACACTTATGAAAGACAATGAATATTGGTCCAGTGGTGGTCCTAGTTCCGAATTCATGCCACAACCTTCCTTGCCACAAAATGCATCTAATAGCAATGTAAAAGAAAATAAAACTGTTAAAGAGGCACAGAATAATGTAGATAATATGGACACTTCTGGTGATAGCATGGATCCATTTACTCATTGGAGGGTAGCAGGCGAGGCCCTAAGGAGAGCACTCAGAGAATATGAAGTTGAAACTACAACATCCAATAATTCAACCTCTTCCATTCCAACTCTAGTAAGCCCAGGAGAGGACCCGATGAATGCCATGTTAGAGGACTATAACAAAACACGGGACAATGTTCCATCCACAAGTGCAATAAACAATAGTATCAATGCGCTCCCTCGATCAGTAGCTGATATTGTCAACCAGCATGATTTGCAAATTAGAAAGCAAGAGAAACGTGCCAAAGCTAATAAAAATAAGGGATCTAAAAGGCATTCCACGACAGAGCAAACATGCACACCTAGACCTGTCTCATATTACAAGGACTTGATCAAGAGATTCAAGGGAGAAGAGAGCTCCAATTCCAGTGAGAAACCCTGCAGAAATGAGTGCATGTCATCGACATGTAACAAAAGAGGAGAAAAAGTGCCAAGAAATGTACAAGATGCTTCAAGTAGTGATGACGAACTTTACTTAAGGAAACCAAAGCATCAAAAATTATCAACAAAACATAAACCAAAGCTGAAAAAATCTAGTCAAAACAACATAGTAAGTGCACCATCGATGTCCAGTAATGGGTTCTATACCAGTGCTCTAAGAGATAACTCCATACTAAATGGTATAGCTATACCTGATGATCCAAAAACAAAAAGAATGAAACAAATGGCAGAGAATGGGTTTTACACAAGCTCTCTGAAGGACAGTGCAATATTATCTGGTATATCAGAACCAGATAATTCTCCTAGACATGTGCCAAAACTTAAAGGTGCTAAGAAACATACAACTGGTATTAAGAGTAGCAAACAGCCAGTTAAGAGATCATTGGAAGAGAGGGAAGCATCTAAATATAATAACACTTGTGAATGTGATAGTCATGACTCAGATGATGAACCCTGTCCACAACTTGTGTCTTCTTCTTGTGAGTCAGGCATTAATCCAGCAGTACACAGTCGCACAGTATTAGCTCAAGAGAATTCACATTGTCATCATAAAGTGAAACATAGAAAAGGCAAGTCAGCCAAATCATCCACATCCGGTTTATCAAAAAGGACATCATATGTATGTGGACAATACGATAACCAAAATATGTCAAGAAAACATTCTCAGGAGGCTTACAAGGCAGCTTTAGATACAGAGAGAGATGCACTTGATGAGCATAAGGCCCATACAGAGAAAAGGCTCACCAGGCACCAATGTCAGGCTGGATTTTCTCTTGAACTGCCTTCTACTCACACAGGGAGAGGAAAACAGTCTGCAAGTAAGTAGAGTTGCCACATAATCCCTTATAATATGTTATAATGTTATTAGTGTACAATTATTGACCTGTCCAGAGGTTGCCTGTTAAAAAACTTCAATATATGACAAGTATACCAAAACATTGGTTCATGGAAGCCTATCTATAGTTTTTATTTACATTATTAACCTGTCCAGAGGTTGCCTGTTATACCAAAACTGTGCTTCATAGAAACTAATCTGTAGTTGTTATTTTCATTAGGGAGAAGACACTCAGAGAGTGAGAGTGATTCCATACCATTCCTAGATGAAAGCTCAGCTGACCAGTCACACCCTCCAGATACAAATGAGAGTATGCCTGGTAAGTGTAATGAGAGAATACCTGTTCAGTGTAATGACAGTATGCTTGGTAAGTGTAATGACAGAATGCCTGTTAAGTGTAGTCACAGTATATCTGGTAAGTGTTATCACAATATGCCTGGTAAGTGTAACGGACATGCCTGATAAGTGTAATGGACATGCCTGATAAGTATAATGACAGGATGCCTAGAAAGTATAATGACAGTATGGCTGGTAAGTGTAATGACTGAATGCCTATTCAGTGTAATGACAGTGTGGCTGGTAAGTGAAATGACAGAATGCTTGGTAAGTGTAATGACAGTATGGCTGGTAAGTGTAATGACTGAATGCCTGTTCAGTGTAATGACAGTGTGGCTGGTAAGTGTAATGACTGAATGCCTGTTCAGTGTAATGACAGTATGGCTGGTAAGTGTAATGACTGAATGCCTATTCAGTGTAATGACAGTGTGGCTGGTAAGTGTAATGACTGAATGCCTGTTCAGTGTAATGACAGTATGGCTGGTAAGTGTAATGACTGAATGCCTGTTCAGTGTAATGACAGTATGACTGGTAAGTGTAATGACAGTATGGCTGGTAAGTGTAATGACAGTTTGGCTGGTAAGTGTAATGACAGTATGGCTGGTAAGTGTAATGACAGTATGGCTGGCAAGTGTAATGATTGTATGCCTGGTAAGTATAATGACAGTATGGCTGGTAAGTGTAATGACAGTATGGCTGGTTAGTGTAATGACAGTATGGCTGGCAAGTGTAATGACTGAATGCCTGTTCAGTGTAATGACAGTATGCCTGATAAGTATAATGACAGGATGCCTGGTAAGTGTAATGACAGTTTGGCTGGTAATTGTAATGACAGTATGGCTGGTAAGTGTAATGACTGAATGCCTGTTCAGTGTAATGACAGTATGCCTGATAAGTATAATGACAGTATGACTGGTAAGTGTAATGACTGAATGCCTGTTCAGTGTAATGACAGTATGGCTGGTAAGTGTAATGACAGTGTGGCTGGTAAGTGTAATGACAGTATGCCTGTTCAGTGTAATGACAGTATGGCTGGTAAGTGTAATGACAGTATGACTGGTAAGTGTAATGACAGTATGGCTGGTAAGTGTAATGACAGTATGCCTGTTCAGTGTAATGACAGTATGGCTGGTAAGTGTAATGACAGTATGACTGGTAAGTGTAATGACTGAATGCCTGATAAGTATAATGACAGTATGACTGGTAAGTGTAATGACTGAATGCCTGGTAAGTGTAATCACAGTATGGCTGGTAAGTGTAATGACAGTATGACTGGTAAGTGTAATGACAGTATGCCTGGTAAGTGTAATGACAGTATGACTGGTAAGTGTAATGATAGTATGGCTGGTAAGTGTAATGACTGAATGCCTGTTCAGTGTAATGACAGTATGCCTGATAAGTATAATGACAGTATGACTGGTAAGTGTAATGGCTGAATGCCTGGTAAGTGTAATGACAGTATGGCTGGTAAGTGTAATGACAGTATGACTGGTAAGTGTAATGACAGTATGCCCGGTAAGTGTAATGACAGTATGACTGGTAAGTGTAATGACAGTATGGCTGGTAAGTGTAATGACAGTATGCCTGGTAAGTGTAATGACAGTGTGGCTGGTAAGTGTAATGACAGTATGCCTGTTCAGTGTAATGACAGTATGGCTGGTAAGTGTAATGACAGTATGACTGGTAAGTGTAATGACTGAATGCCTGTTCAGTGTAATGACAGTATGGCTGGTAAGTGTAATGACAGTATGCCTGTTCAGTGTAATGACAGTATGGCTGGTAAGTGTAATGACAGTATGACTGGTAAGTGTAATGACTGAATGCCTGATAAGTATAATGACAGTATGACTGGTAAGTGTAATGACTGAATGCCTGGTAAGTGTAATCACAGTATGGCTGGTAAGTGTAATGACAGTATGACTGGTAAGTGTAATGACAGTATGCCTGGTAAGTGTAATGACAGTATGACTGGTTAGTGTAATGACAGTATGGCTGGTAAGTGTAATGACTGAATGCCTGTTCAGTGTAATGACAGTATGGCTGGTGAGTGTAATGACTGAATGCCTGTTCAGTGTAATGATAGTATGGCTGGTAAGTGTAATGACTGAATGCCTGTTCAGTGTAATGACAATATGGCTGGTGAGTGTAATGACTGAATGCCTGTTCAGTGTAATGACAGTATGCCTGATAAGTTTAATGACAGTATGCCTGATAAGTATAATGACAGTATGACTGGTAAGTGTAATGACAGTATGGCTGGTAAGTGTAATGACAGTATGGCTGGTAAGTGTAATGACAGTATGCCTGGTAAGTGTAATGACAGTATGGCTGGTAAGTGTAATGACAGTATGGCTGGTAAGTGTAATGACAGTATGGCTGGTAAGTGTAATGACAGTATGCCTGGTAAGTGTAATGACAGTATGCCTGATAAGTGTAATGACAGTATGGCTGGTAAGTGTAATGACAGTATGGCTGGTAAGTGTAATGACAGTATGCCTGGTAAGTGTAATGACAGTATGGCTGGTAAGTGTAATGACAGTATGGCTGGTAAGTGTAATGACAGTATGGCTGGTAAGTGTAATGACAGTATGGCTGGTAAGTGTAATGACAGTATGCCTGGTAAGTGTAATGACAGTATGCCTGGTAAGTGTAATGACAGTATAGCTGGTAAGTGTAATGACAGTATGACTGGTAAGTGTAATGACAGTATGGCTGGTAAGTGTAATGACAGTATGGCTGGTAAGTGTAATGACAGTATGCCTGGTAAGTGTAATGACAGTATGGCTGGTAAGTGTAATGACAGTATGGCTGGTAAGTGTAATAACAGTGTGGCTGGTAAGTGTAATGACTGAATGCCTGGTAAGTGTAATGACAGTATGCCTGGTAAGTGTAATGACAGTATGGCTGGTAAGTGTAATGACAGTATGACTGGTAAGTGTAATGACAGTATGGCTGGTAAGTGTAATGACAGTATGACTGGTAAGTGTAATGACAGTATGGCTGGTAAGTGTAATGACAGTATGGCTGGTAAGTGTAATGACAGTATGGCTGGTAAGTGTAATGACAGTATGGCTGGTAAGTGTAATGACAGTGTGGCTGGTAAGTGTAATGACTGAATGCCTGGTAAGTGTAATGACAGTGTGACTGGTAAGTGTAATGACAGTATGGCTGGTAAGTGTAATGACAGTATGGCTGGTAAGTGTAATGACAGTATGCCTGGTAAGTGTAATGACAGTATGGCTGGTAAGTGTAATGACAGTATGACTGGTAAGTGTAATGACAGTATGGCTGGTAAGTGTAATGACAGTATGGCTGGTAAGTGTAATGACAGTATGGCTGGTAAGTGTAATGACAGTATGGCTGGTAAGTGTAATGACAGGATGCCTAGTCAGTGTAAATACTCAATACCTGATAAGTGTAATGACAATATGCCTGGAAAGTCTTATTGTTTATATTTTAATGGCAGTATGCCTGGTCTTAGAACCATATTCTTTAGATTTAGCATATTAGCAGTAACATGTAATTGCAGTATAATTTGAAGACTTATATGAGATGTCGAAAGACAGAGAAGAGAATATTAAAACTGACTGATGATCATAATACATGTACAGGGTGTCCCGAAAGTATGGGGCCCCCCCTAGGCAGACATATACCAGTGTTGTCATAGTATGTGTCATATATCATTTTAATGCTTATCCAAAGTTACATTGATTTGCCAAGTATCATGGTTCAACTCTCAAATGTGAAAAAATTACAGGCATTTCAAAATTTAGTGTTTGGTCAAAATTAAGTTCAATTTTACACCAAATCAATAGTCAAAGTGTCCTCCCGGGCAATCTAAACAGCAGCAATTCTTTTCGGGTCGGATAGATATTGAGTTGGAAAAAGAGAACGGTGAGGGTAGAAACTCTAAGGAAACTCTTCTAAAGTGCCTTAACAGGTTTTAAGAGGGTTATAAAATTCCACACCCCTATTTAAAGGGCTTTTAAGGTCATATCTGAAAATAATTACTGCTGTTAACATGGCCAAGGGGGGACTCATTGACTTGTAATGTTGTGTGAAATTGAACTTTATTTTGACAAAACACTAACTTTTAAAATGACTGTAACTTTTTCCCATATGGGAGTTAAACCATGATACTTGGCAAATCAATGTAACTTTGGATAAGCTTTAAAATGATATATGACATATACTATGAGGACACTGGAATACCTCTGCCTAGGGGGGGCCCCATACTTTCGGGACACCCTGTATAAGTACAGAGTTCATTTTTTGACATACACTGTACATAATCATATACATGTACTGTACCATTAGAGTTTTTTATTGCTTGAATTTAGATCTCATCAACAGTACAAGTGGGGATGATTCACTGGCAGAACAGCAGCACGACCCCTTTGAGCCTAATGCATCTGACTTTGAGGCCCTGCCCGATCTAGTCTCTAGTGATTCTACACACTATTCTGACTCTGGGGAAGTGCACTTCTCTGAACCTGAAGAGATTCCTGGCTTAGAGTCATTAGATGAGGTATGGATTACACAAGGATTTTATGGTTGTTACATATCTTTCTAGAATTATCAGACTTTTCTCTGTTCAGTAGAATAAAATCCATTTGAAATTGACAAATGATAATACATATTGTTATAGTCTCTAACTTCATGTGGACGGTGTTAGGCATTTGTGTTCAGCATCCTGTGCTCGAAGTTCAGTGTCTGTAACAAATAGCATGTGGTGACATTTTGCATGATAATGCCTTGTATTCGCCTGACACCTGTACTATAGACTTAATACAAGATTATCATGTTATATATTTTCAGGATTGTGAGAGTGGTGGAAACGAGGATGCTGATGATGAATTTGAATGTGAATGTTCCCTTTGTGTGCAGCAACGTAGACTTACACATTGTGAGTTAATAACTGTCAACTAATAGAGGGATTTTACATCATAACAATTTGCCTTAACTTATCTGTATCCATAAAATTTTATTAAAATGAAAGTTTTCCAGGATTTTGTATATGCAAACATGCGCTCCTATATGTCTTGAATTTCAACCTTTGTCACATTAGAGAGACTTAATAGTTTAATGTACCTCATATCAGTAAAATTATTTACAATCAAACACCTTTTGGGAAAATCTGATTTGTCGATAAATGATTGACATGATTGTCTATACTTTTTTATAATAGATATTTATTACCACCATGTTTTGTGATTAGAATGGTGGTTGATGTTGGCCGTCACTTTTTGCAATCTGTAGATACTCTCTCATAATAACCAGTTGCAATTATTACTTGTTTTAGCCATTTGCAAATACTTTGTGACATTTTGTATCATTTTGTCATGTTAATACCTTGTTTTAGCCACTCGCAATTACTTACCCATTTGAGACATTTGTGGCATTGTAATACCTCATGTTAATACCTTCTTTTAGCCACTCGCAATTACTTACCCATTTGAGACATTTGTGGCATTGTAATACCTCATGTTAATACCTTCTTTTAGCCACTCGCAATTACTTACCCATTTGAGACATTTGTGGCATTGTAATACCTCATGTTAATACCTTGTTTTAGCCACTCGCAATTACTTACCCATTTGAGACATTTGTGGCATTTTATTACCTCATGTTAATACCTTCTTTTAGCCACTCGCAATTACTTACCCATTTGAGACATTTGTGGCATTTTATTACCTCATGTTAATACCTTGTTTTAGCCACTCGCAATTACTTACCCATTTGAGACATTTGTGGCATTTTATTACCTCATGTTAATACCTTGTTTTAGCCATGCATGAGTGGGAGACTGAGGAAGAGGAAGAAACTGTTGGTGCTGAAAGTGCCCCAAGCAGTGCCCCTAGTGAGCCTCAATCTGGTCTCAGGTATGAAACATGAGTGTCACATCTTGGACATTAGTCTCTGAACTGTAGAAATGATGCTGATATATCTAAATGACTCCAAAGTAGCTGTCATGGCCTTATTTCAATTTTCGATATTAAAATCTAACATGGGATGTACATGTATATGGAAGTGAATGATATGATGTTATAGGTACGACTCGGATGATGACTTCAATCCATTCCCATTCCTAAACTTCGGGGACCTGACCCCCCTCAACTTACTACTGCTGAGACAGGAGACGATGAGGCGTGATTTCCTCACCACAATGTTCCAAGTAAGTTGGAATATATTGAATACTGTAGTATTTTCAAAATGTCTGCTACAATAAAATGGATGGATGGTTTGTTTTAGAAAGGTGCATTAATATAGGGAATTCAAGTTCAAAAATACTGAGACAAGACTTATAAAGAATGTCTTCAATGTAAACTGATAAGATTGTTTTGTTCCATGGCATATCTTAGTTTTGATTGATAGTGTGTATCACCCATGAATATAGCCCATCATTTGTAAAATCAGTCACAGTTGATACAGATAACAATACTTCACACGAAAACAATATTATACCACAAAGTAACAAGAAAAATCAGAAAAGAATTACATTATATTAAATTTTGAAACTAATGTTAATTTTTCTCGTCATAATTCTTTATATTATAATTCTCATATATTATTCATTAAGTACATGTTTGAAGATTCGATATGAAACAGTCCAGTATATTTTTGGAAGATATTTGGAGTTGTTTTTGAAAGATTTTCTGAGTCGTTTTTTAAATTCAAAGGCACTGAATTCTTTGCCGTCACGACTACTCAAGTAATTGCTGAAAATTGAATATATAATGTGTTAACCCAAATATTTATATATATATGATTATAATAAAACTTCAGAATGTGATATTCCAAATGACCAGTGTCTACCCTGATTTACTGGGAGATCAAGCTCCACCCCCTGCAACCAATGAAGACATGGAGAAGCTGCCAATCAAAGAGATTGACAAGTCTCTACTAGGTATGTACCTGCTTATGTGGATATAATTTATAAATGTGAACCACAATGGGGAAGGACCCATTTTATTTTTATTTCTCTTGGATTTTGTGATCTTGCTATGAAATAATGGGGCTCAGATATGAGAAACAACAATACTCTTGTCATGATATCAATACCTTTACCTTAATTAAAGTTATATGCATTTTAGAAATTAATTTTTGATGTCTCTGATTTTCAGACAAGGAAACATCCTGTTCAATCTGTCTCTGTGCATTTGAGTCTGGTGAGAAGGCCACAGAGCTGCCTTGTAATCACATCTTCCACCCACTCTGTATCAAGGCATGGCTAGTCAAGGTAAATGAGATTGACATTGTGGTCTATTTTGACTTATTGAATATCCCAACGATTGAAATTCAGGAGGGATATAGTGAAGCCCTCCATCAGTCTGTCCATCAGTCTGTCTGTCCGGAAGATAACTCAAATACTGGTTGACAAATTTCTTCATATTTGGTGGAAAGATGTATATTGGTGAATAGTTTTACGCAAGAAATTTTTTCAAGATGGCCGCCACTTTAAAAAAAAATGGTGGGAAAAATCTGTTTATCATGTTAAACCAAAGTAATAAATATGAAAATTTGGTTGTATATTCACAACATCTATCTATTTCACATGTATTCTATCCAATGACTTTATCACACAGATTGCTATGAAATCCTAGCAAATGAATGAGAAGCTGCCGTGGCTGTGCCTCCAATCTACAGGGTGTCAAATAAGTCTGTTATCCCCCTTAACTTGTTTAATTTAGATATAACACAAGGTTATTATATATCATCTTAAAGGGAATATTTAATTTGCTGATCACACACCAAATTTCAGAGCGATTGGTTGAATCCAAAAGTTTTTAGAGCACTTGATGAGTGATGTCCATATTTCACATTTTTGATAGTTTGTATGTTTCTCCCAAGCAGCTCAGACAGCCTCAATTCTACGAGGATACAATTCCAAAATGTTCACAAACAGAGATATTGGTCTTTCCAGGCTTCTAAAAGCTTTCTTGATATTTTTGAGTAATGTTTCATGGCAATAAAGTTTCTCCTCTGGTTGATCTTCGATTAATTTTCCGACCCTGTCCTTCAGAATTGCAGTATCAACTTTTCACTGTTCATTCACTACCCTTGTAATTTTACTTGCTTTGACATAATCGATGGTCAACTTACAAGATGGTCAAACTTACAAGAAACATTGTAGCAATTTTATTAGAAAGTGTTCATTACTGCTTTAAAATGATATATGGGAAAGCATGACAACTTTAAAAGAAAAAAGTTAAGGGGGAGAACATACTTATTTGACGCCCTGTACATGTAAATGAGAGTACAGTGCATTTGAAGTTCTTGACAGTTCTTAGTTCATTTATCTCCACACGTGAAAACTTTCCAAAATCAGGTAGTTGAAAAAGTAGACACCATTCAAACAAAGCTGCACTCTATCTAAATAATTGAAAATTAATCATGTTTTTAACTGCCTGGTTTTAAAAGGTTTAGAGGATGGGAGTACATTAGAGAGTAATAGCATCAGGGCACTCAGAGGGGTATTTTCCCTGATTTCGCATATTCTAAGATCTGAATTTTGATTTGAAAAATGATTGAACAATGGAAATTACCAAAAGGTTGAAATTAAATCTGAATCGAGAGCAGAAATGTTCATGATTACCAGGAAATAAAGTCATGGAATAAAAACTAAAAGGCATTTTTGCTTCATATTTATTCACCATATTCAGACTTAAAACTTAAAAGATATGTCTAAAATAAAAAATTTCAATACATTATTTTTGATTCCTTCAAGATAATGTTTTAGCTTATGTTCAGCATGACACCACTTTAATTGAAGGATCGTTTAGTGCAAACGTTTAATACAGCTACTTAGAGATTACTTATCATTGTTATTTATTCATTTATATTTCCAGTCTGGTACTTGTCCAACGTGTAGACACAAACTGACAACAGCAACAAGAGAGAGACCTCAACCAGACTTTGACTCCTGGCTAGGTCAATTATAGTTTTTGTGTGATCCAGGTTTATGACTGGCAAGGTCAACTTAAGTCATCATGTGATCCAGCTATAAACAGATAGTGACTGGCTATATAACCTATAGTCATTGTGTGATCCAACTAAAAACAGATAGTGACTGGCTATATAAGCTATAGTCATTGTGTGATCCAACTAAAACAGATCATGACTGACTATATAACATATAGTCATTATGTGATCCAACTAAAACAGATAGTGACTGGCTATATAAGCTATAGTCATTGTGTGATCCAACTGAAAACAGATAGTGACTGGCTATATACTAGTAAGCTATAGTCATTGTGTGATCCAACTAAAACAGATCATGACTGACTATATAACCTATAGTCATTATGTGATCCAACTGAAAACAGATTATGACTGCCTATATAAGCTATAGTCATTGTGTGATCCAACTAAAAACAGATAGTGACTGGCTATATAAGCTATAGTCATTGTGTGATCCAACTAAAACAGATAGTGACTGGCTATATAACCTATAGTCATTGTGTGATCCAACTAAAAACAGATCATGACTGACTATATAACCTATAGTCATTGTGTGATCCAACTGAAAACAGATTATGACTGCCTATATAAGCTATAGTCATTGTGTGATCCAACTAAAAACAGATAGTGACTGTCTATATAAGCATTAGTCATTGTGTGATCCAGTTGACAGATTATGACTGGCTGTATAACCTATAGTCATTGTGTGATCCAACTGAAAACAGATTATGACTGCCTGTATAAGCTATAGTCATTGTGTGATCCAACTAAAAACAGATAGTGACTGGCTATATAAGCTATAGTCATTGTGTGATCCAGTTGACAGATTATGACTGGTTGGGTCAATTAAAGTCATTGTGTGATCCATCTATAGACAGATTGTGACTAGTTAGCTATATAAGCTATAGTCATTATATGATCCAGTTGACAGATTATGACTGGCTAGGTTAGGTCAACTATAGTCATTGTGTGATTTAGCTGCAGACAGATTATGACTAGCTATATAGGCTATTCATTGTGTGATCAAACTAAATACAAATTATGACTGGCTATATTAGCTAGTCAATGTGTGATTCAACTATAGACAGATTATGGCTGGCTAAATCAGCTGTAGTCATTGTGTAATTACACTATTCACTATACACTATACAACTAGGAAGTGATTTTGGGCAATTAGTTTTCATCTTACAATTCAATTAGTCAGTCAGTTTATCATCCAGATTATCTATCATTTGTACTTGAACATCTTATTTTTGCAGCTCAGTTGAATTGGTGAGATCACATGTATATTAAATGCTTGGAAAATCATAACTGATTTGTTATATTCTCATTTCTCAATATAAGCCAACCCCCTTTACAAATCTAAGTCTGTATCTAAATTGATAAATAATACAAGGTAACATGGCAAAACAACTAAGAAAAAACAGACATTTAGCTTTCTATTGAAAATCAAGGGGAATGGTACTAAATATTTAGGTAGCTCAACTTTCAGTTACATATTCAAGTGTTGGACAAAATACCTTAATATCAAAGCCTTCCTCTCGCTCAATTTATGTACTGTATTTAAATCTAGAGTTTGTTTTTTGGTAGTACATGTAGTTCAAAATATATAATGTATAGGGTGTCCATAAAGTCTCTACATTTTATATAGACTTTGTATTGCAATATACCAGATGCGAGTAGAAATAATCTTGATTTACTTCATTAAATATTCAAAGTTTAGCTAAAGGGATGTCATATTTGAAGTCTACATGTAAAATTGCATCTAGAAATGTGGTTTAAAGAAGTAAAAAATGTGACTTCCAGGTTTGGGGAGATTCCCCATAGAGCCCATGTTACAAAATTACAAAAAGTGAAATATCTTTTTTTGTATTGGGCAAATAATAATTTCCTTTAGTGGACATATTTTCGTTTGTATAACTATCAGATACATAAGGATTATTTCAAAATTGATGCACTTAAACTTATATTATTCAAGTTTAAGGGAACTTTCTTATATACCTGCCATGTTAAGTAACCCGAATCAGCCACCTGGTGGTGAAACTGGTAACTACCTACTCCCATCTGTGCAATTGTATAGAAACTTTGTGAACAACATGTATATCTTTGAAGCCAATATGTTCTGGCATATTCAGTTTAAATTCAGTCAAGGTCAAAACTTCTATTTACCCTAGTAACCCCAATTGTCAGCTTGTAACAGTGTAATGCTAGAAGTGGTCTGTAAATAATATATTTTTCTGATTACATTGTGATAAATCTTATCTGTGTGTTATATATAGAAATGTCATACTCAAGATATGGCAGGTTTTATGTAATAAACAACAACTTGACAAGTGCATTGTATGAGACAAGTGCATTGTATAAGACAAGTGCATTGTATGACACAAGTGCATTGTATGATAACATTGATTTAGTATGTACATGTACATTATTATAACTCAGTAACTGATTACATTAGTTAAGAAAACATCTTGACATTTTCAAATTCATACTTTCTTTTCCGCCAAATGTATCGATGTGCTTAATTAAAGTATAATTTTTTTCTGAAACATTTATGCAGTATTTGTATGCAAACTGGTTTGATGCAATTTTTGACATCAATAGATGCCATTCAAAGTGAATGATTGAACTCCTATACTTTTAATTTAGTAAGTATTTTGATGTATAGTCCATCCCTTATGCCATCCCTTAGGAAGATGATGTGTTTTAGTAAGTAATTTAGTTTATAGATGTACAGTAGAAAATGATTAGACCATCAAAAGTAACTAAAAATATACAAGTTCAACAAAATAAAATAAAGGTGCTTAAAAACAATAGTGTTGGTATTGTTCTTGAAATAGGTGATGAAAAGTTATAGTTGTGCTTCAAAATTGTACCCCTGTACTTCACTTCAATTGTATCAGGAAGGTGAAGTACACAGGGGGTACACAGTCTTGAGATAACACTATATAAATTAACACTATCCGCTAAATATCTTGATGAAATTTGAACTTAAGTATGAATACTGGAAGGTTTCAGTCTTCGACATTGTTGCCTGTTTGACTATTCATTGTTGCCTGTTTGACTGTTCATTGTTGCCTCTCTGACTGTTCATTGTTGCCTCTGACTGTTCATTGTTGTCTCTTTGACTGTTCATTGTTGCCTCTTTGACTGATCATTGTTGCCTCTTTGACAGTTCATTGTTGCCTCTTTGACTGTACATTGTTGCCTCTTTGACTGTTAGACTGTTAGACTTTGACTGTTTTTACATATAGTTTTATTTTAGTGAGAGATGATTCCAGTGGACATCTAGTGTTTTTGGTCCCCTTCTATCACCTAAAATTGAACTTCACTAAAAAACTACTGATATACTGTCTATAGCTTATCATATACCAGAATGGAAATGTATTCAAGCTTAGCTAGTTTTTAGTGGGTACTGAATATTTCACTTTGGTAGCTCTGCTCCTGTATATTTAGAGTCCTAGAATAGCCAAAGCAAGCTTATTAAACAATATTATGATAACCATGAGTGGATGGAGTTTGATTTGATCCTTTAAAAAGATTACTTGAAATTCAAAATTGTCAAGATTACCATTGGATATCACCTTTTTGTGAGCCCCATGAAAATACTGCCAAAATGTGTCATAAGGACATACTTTTAATGAACTATTCATCATTCAACTTGGATCTTTAAAGATACTTCTTATGAGGTTTTGAATTGTCTTTTTGATTTAAATCATTGAATAAACCATGGGCTTTCTTTATTGAAATCCCATGGATAAACCCAAGATCAGTTTCTTTATCGAGATATCATTTTATCCCATCATGGATATCACCTCGTCAATAAAAATGATATCACTCAAAATGATCTGATATTTTGATCAATTTCTTTTTTCTACATACTTGTATTCGCAATACAACTAACGCATGTCGGCTACTTGATTAACCTACTATTTTATGGGTAACTCATTTAATATGAATAGTACCTGCCACTATTCCATTCAAATTTCAATGAGTTGGCCATAAAATAGTAGGGTTAATCCGGTAGCGGTCAGGCATGAGTTGCATTCGCGAATACAAGGCTAGTTTCAATGAAATTAAATAGAGAGCTATCAAAATTAGTGTTCTAGTATTAGGCTGCCATCTATCAATTGTAATCTTATTCATTTTGTATATTTTTCTTTAATTGCAAATAACTTCCAATTTTGAGGATTTAACAGCTAACAGATATCACAAATTAACATTAAAAATAGTATATATCTAAAAATTTAAATATCTATTCAAAATATTATTTTTAATACACTTTTGCGTCTAGAAGATATATTTTAATCTGATAATTGAAAAATCGGGGCGGAGAATGGAATAGCCAGTATGCAAATGAAAAGACAACATGGCGGAGAAAAGAAAAATCGGAAATTGAAGTTTCTCCTACATTTTGACAAATATCTGCTACAAACGGTGAGTAAACCTTTACTAAATGAAACATAACAGTTCATATGACTTTAAGTATTAGATGGATACTTGTATATTTTATCAAATGTGAGTGGCTTTATCAGAAAATTGCCCCACTTGAAAATCTTTGCTAAAACAAACAAACTTTTTGCCTTGTTTCCAATTTGCTTCTTGAAATTGCAAAATGAGCCACTTTGAATTAGAATTATTCAACAAGATTCCTATAACTGTTGGGTATGGTTGCAAATGCATTATAGCTACATTCTCATGCTGTTTGCTTGAGGTTTCTATTCCACCTTTCAACTTCAGCTCTTCAAATTTCATTTTGCATTCCCTTTTGAATGGAGTTACGATTGCCCCCACTGGAGTTTCTCTCTAGGTTTGTAGACTTTGAAGCAGCGCTGCAGTTTGTTCATCTCCAACCAAAATCTATCATCTAGCTTTAGCCATGATCGTTTTTTCTTGGTTGCGACTTGCCAGTCTGAATATAGACACAGTTATATCGCTGAGGGTATAGTTTGATACTTTAGCCTATCCGTAAGACTGATCATGTAAAAAGGATGAAATAAATGAGTTTCTAAGAACACAAATATTTCCTGATGAAAGTCAATGATGCCTTGACATTCTATTACATTCAGAAAAGAATTTTGTTTATATTAGATCTGGTCAGGATATGTTCAAGTTAGCATTCAAGTTAATGACATTATTCAATGCTTAGTTTCATTATCCACATGTCGATCCATAGAGGTATTTCGCATGCTTGAAAGGAATACAAATTTATGCCCATCCATGCTTAGAGTGAAAATTCAGTATGAGAGGGACTAGAACTTTAGAGCTATTTATTGCATGCATCCTCTTTCCTAGTCTCAGAAAAAATATGTACTGCTCTCCCTGTATCAGGGAGAAAATAAAAGAATATAAAGATACCTAGAAAATATTTTCAGTGATAACGTTAATTGCAATCAATGCATCTTTCCTTTTCTTAATAAAAAGTTATATCTATATAACCTCATAATAGTTGAGTTGAGACATGTAGATAGATGCAGAGAGATTTGTATGGTATGTGTATATGAGAGATCTGCATGGGTCTAACACTGGTAATGTGTACCTGAGTGGACAGGTAAATAAGACTGGCTCCATACTCTGCGTTAGTGTGTTTGGAGAAGGCTCTGTACCCTTACACATAACCATGTTCTAATCATGTCCTTAATAACAGATTTGCCAAGTATTATTGAGAAATTCTCAAGATATAACAAAGTCAGACATAACCCGTCTTCCATTTTATGCAAAAATATTACTAAAAAGTGTGATATTGTATGACAAAGGGCTAAATATGTGAAGATTTATAAGGTGTTGTTTCAACTTGTTTGAAAGAGTTTCACCCTGTTCTATTTACACAGGTAGATCTTGCCTCCTGTTTGTCCACAGTTCTCTGGTACTGGCTCTGCTAAGTATACCCCCAAGCAAAACATCACACTCTAGCATAGTACACCAATCAACTGGAAATAACCATTAAGAGCACTTAAAACATACAATTCTTACATATGAACCCTAAAAATAATGCATGAAAATATTCAAGCTGGTTGGTATTCTCTAATGAAATGAAGGGTATTTTGATGATTTTGAGTCCTTTATTTTGGCAGGTTAGGCAGGATTAGGTGTTATGTAATTTCTGTGCTATGTTTGCCAAGCTCTTACCTATAGCATCATGTATCAGTTTATTTTTCTCTTTATTCAGCTTTCATCAAGATTAACACACAATGCATAATCAAGTCATAAGCTAAAGGTACAGTGTTATATGAGTTCATAATTATTGGGTTTTGTTTGGAATAAGGATTAGGAAAGTCACACATTAATTTTACAATCAAGCTCAATCAGTAAGAACAACATATAAATAAAATTCTGAATTCAATCAGTTCCTTGAATAAAATTTGAATGGACCAGATGGATAAAATAAATCAAGCTTAATCAGGTTTGTAAAGTAAGGACATATTTATGGTCATGTATGTGGATTATATTCAAATATTATATTTATATACAAGGAGAGTCATTCAACCAAGGAGGTGGCCATCTTGGCAAAAGAAGATCGAGAGCAATATGAAAGAACATGTAGATGTACCATTCTGCAGTTAGACCCATTAGTTACTCTATGGTCATTTCATCAATGCCAACCATTGAAAAAAATTCAAGCCAGTTTTATTTTTCGACAAAGAGACATAATGTAAAGAATGAAATGTAAAATTGATAAAATACAAATATATCATACTTTAATAACAGTCTTGATTACATAATAGTGACAATCTATTAGAATTAGAGAGGAATTTCATGGAAATCATATGATACACGGAGTAACATTGAAAGCACAGGCGGATACATCAGACCATGCGCTCCTATTTTACGGGTCAACTCAGTGGTTGAATGGAGACCTATTCAGACCCGCTCTGACCCATCTATGGATATATTAATTTGTCTTTTCAATTTAGGCTCATTAACACAAAGCCAGTTTTAAATGCTAAATTGCTACCTTTAGGTTCCTGGTTTGGATGTCCTTGGGATTTGGTCTCTTTGTTTTATGATGTGTCCTGATTTTTTGTCCTGTCTTATAATTTTGTGATGGTTTTTCATAGAGCAATAATGGCACCAAAATCAGTTCAAATCTGTGAATCGTTACAATCTAGTTTTCATTTCATTCCTTGTCATTTTCTCTATGTTTAAGAAAAGAGAGCAATGCAAGGGCCACCATTATCCACCTCATGACAGTTTTATTGCTTTGAGAAAGGGGAATGGAGTATGTGAGGTTAAACCATTGTGGTAACTGGAAAACACTGAATGATAACCAAGTTTATAAGACATGTGCAAAAAATCTGCTGATAACCATATTGAAATAATCTGTAGAAGTTGGTTACCAATTGTAAAAATAAGTTCATGCCAAATCTTCACATGGGATATCTGAATCCTAAATGTGAGAATTAAAATTGTTCCAGATTAAGGTGCAGTGTAAAACTTGAGATAGTCTACCCTTCCTTATTCCTCAAACTCAAAACATCTGAAGGATATAATTGATGACATAAAACTATTCTTTCATAAAATTGGCTTCACAAAGACAGCAAAAATCAAATACAGTTCTGAATGTTCTTTGTTAAATCTGGAGAGCAGGGAATTTAATCTAGTGAAGGTATATGTTGAAGTAGGTAGAAATAAGGAGGTTGAATCTGGTTTCCTTGTCAGCTGGCCAGCATTGTAGGGGGCTTAGATATGGCTATAGACACATGGTAAATTGGGAGCAGAATTCAAAAGTCCAGTGCAGATAAACAAGATTGTTTATTTTCAAGAGACAAGTTTGTTATGATGTTCATACCAGGTGTCATTAAGATGGGTTCTAATGAGGTCCAATTCCTCCATTATGCTGAAAGAGTTCAAGGTGAAATTTTTATTATATGGAAGATATTCATCAAAATCTCATAATTTTGAATACTCCTTACAATTCTTTTTTTCCAAAGAATATCTTCGGTTTGTACTTGTGTATTTTGATTTCTGTGGTTTATGTAAAGATAACATTCCCCTTGGTTAGTGAAAGGGTACTATAGCATAATGAATGTATCAGCACTTCGGAACTGCATATGAATATATAGGTGGGTGGTGGAACTAAATCTATTTGGTGAAACATACTTTGCATATTGGTTGAATCGACCCTAGAAGTTCCACAGCAGTTTGGAATATTTCAAAAGTTAATTTGTTTTTCAAGTAAATAGCTTGGTTTTGCCTAATTTATATGTTGCTCAAGCAGAAAGAAGATGAGTTTGAAATTGTTGCTGGAAAGTTTATTCCAGACAGCTTAGCTGTAATTATGGCAAAATTATCAAGATTTATTATGGAGAAGTCATTGCAAGTTTCCAGATAAGTGGTCGGCGAATGTTCCCCTCTAGTATACATACATCAATGTATCACCTTACATCCCAGTGAGTTGGCCCCAAGCCTGCATCGTGTATAAATTGCTCACTTATTTCCAAGTTATGGCTAAAATTGTGACTGAATTTATTAGGATTTATGATTCTCACAATGTAGGATTATCACTAGATTTTATTAACCATTTATCTTATTTATTTTTTCATGGTGAATAATGCCATTGGCTATTTATGCAATTTATAAAGTAATAACAACTTATTTCTATTATAACAGAACAGTCTAGTCAGTGAACCATATTTTTGTGATTTTATGAAATTTTCTGATTGTTTTTGTAAGTGATTTTAAGTACCAAGCCACTCTGTCTCCTTAATAAACTTGTCCATGTCAACTAAAACCACACGTTTTTTATTCCAAATTTTTTCCTGTCTTAAAAATAAAAGATGAAAGGTTTTGAATAAAAAACGTTAATTCTAGTGCGACCACTATATGATAGAAAGCTACTGTTTGAAGAATTCAAAGAAGTGTCAGGGTAAAAAGGTTTATGCTCCAACATGGATTCTATCTGTTCTAAAGCTTACATTTAATTGCTAAGAAAGATGTTGATGCAGCTGGTCCATGGATGTTGGCCCTCTCTTACCCTGGCAATAAATTCCATAGTGGCTTTGTTTGCCCTTGCAGGAAATAAATCACATTATCAGAGTATAAAAGATAGTGTGATGCAATTTGCATATTAACCGATATTAGGATACCAGAATGATATCTGAATAACCAACCATATCTAAGACACATAGAATATAGCAATTAACATAAGATGGTTTGGTAGGACCTTATTCTGCTGAATGCAACAGATATCCCAGACTAAAGCCCCTGTAAAACAGAAGAGTTGTAACACACAGATTGCATGCTATTGCAGGAAAACAGCTTGAGGAAATCAGTTGACAATTTGAATTTTTCTACCCAAAATAAAAATAAACTTTAAGTGGCATATGTGGATTATCAACAGCATTTTAACTTAAAAAGGAATTTCACTGGTAATGCTAACTTTGATGGATTGATTCAGCCACAGTAATGAAGTCATCAGTTATATAGAATTGTTGAAATGTGCAATGGATTTGTTTATGTCATAAAGCAGTTGTTGGTTTCTGTTTCAGCCCATACTACACAATGTACAAGTAGAAGGCTGATAGTGGCTAAGTGAGTCGGAAGCATATAGATGTCCTGTACTTCATATACAATCAACAAAACAACAATATGACGAAAGGTAAACTTTTACGATTATGGTAATTATCATGTTTCGGAACATTAGGTATAAATGGATGAACAATTTACATGTTTTTTCCATTTACATAGGCTAATGAAAATGTAATTTCGAGATTGATCGTTGATATTTTGTGATCTAATAAAGAGAATAACTTTTGTATGATCCATATGAAAATTGTTTGTGATAATCAGAATTATTCACTTCAGTAACCATGCTTTCTTTTTTTCTTTTTGTATGTGTCATAGACATGGTATGGTGCCTGGTTATGTTTCTGCAGTTACAAAAAAATTAATTTTGCTAAAATGTATAAGATTGACAAGTATTTGCTGGCTATTCATAAATATTCTAATTTACGGTAAATCCTGTTGTATCCAAACATATATTGGGATTTTCTACAAGAGTCAGATTACGAGGTTTTCACTCACAAGTTCTGAATTAAATGATGAAAAAAACAGAATGAAAAAAACTATACACCTTTAGGGATATACTCATACAGGGATTGCTGCATGTAAATCTAGAGAGTTTGCAATAATGTAATGAAGTATTACGTGAACAAACACCCGCTGACCTTGCTAAGTATGAACAGGGTGACATTGAGTTTGATAATGACAAGAAGGACAAGAGGGTGACTGGCTTGTTAAGTTTATTAATTTGTCTCCTGACTTCCTTTTAGAATTAACTGTTACATTTAACACTTGAGAAGTCCTCATGTTTATCAGCTACGATCATATAGCCAGTACAGTTCAATACATTGTTAATACATTATTAAATATTTGTTTATAAAATTGGCTCTTATGTTTATCTGATAGAAGACTAATAGTGTCTCTAGGAGCAGGGAGTTATAGGGTACAGAGTTTATAGTTTGGGGACATCTCATCCTTCACTTTCTAACATAAATGTACTTTTTTGATGGAAATGGGGGCAGATTTAGATCCATTGAATAAGGGTGATATTTTGGTCAGTAAACCATACCAACTCCTTTTTCATACTAAGACCTCATTGCCCTTCTGAAGATATAGAAGCGCCTAAAATGAGTCAAGCTTTTTGCTCAAGACAGAAAAATGAGATGAGTTTCAAAAATGGTTAGGATTACTTGTGTTCAAGCTTGGTCTTCACAAAACAAACAGAGGCAACAAAGATGGGTAGCTGTTTAATAGGATACAGATCATTTCAGTAGGAAGTCCCAGGTTAAATCATAGGTTTAGGCCCCTTTCCATCTTGTTGTTATGAATATGTTCCCTTTATTGCACATTGTATTATTGTACATTGTAATTGTACATTGTACTATTATGGTTATCACACCTTTCTGTTTTTAGAAGGAAGGGAATGTCATGGTTTATCATTGTGCTACTTCATTATCTAAGTTTGATTTACCTGGTTGGTTTCAGTGATTTTCATATGAGCAAGGAGGTATGTTTGTTGAGGAATATTCAAAATATCTATATATTTTGACATGGTATGTATATAATATAAGGTGCTTATGACACATATCATGTGTAGGGAGAACTACCACAATGACTCCACCACACATTCACAAATCAGATGCAGATATCAATAAGGGGGGGTGTAGAAATTTAAATTATGGTATATTATAGGTGCAAAAAGATGATGTTTTCCCAACTCAGAATATACGGCCTTAGATTTGAACAATGCCAAAAAATCATTCCTGGTCTATCGGTGACAATACAAATACTAGATTTGTACATTTTACCCAAAGAAACCATAGTAGTGTAACGGATGACCGTGAATACACATTTTGTTTTGTAGTATCAGTAATTTGTATCATACAGATATAAATGCAGGTACGTTGACATAGTAGCTTATTACCTTGGGTAATCTATAGGAAGAGGAAGGATGGATTATACTTCAAAGTAACAGATACACATTGAAATCTTGAATAATCTTCTGTGAATTATTGACTATTCTCAGTTTAATGTGTTTTAACGTTTGATTTATTTTAGAAGGGGCTCTAAAGTCACACTGCGGTTGGTAGGAGTGATATTTTTATAGAAACCAAACACTTTATTAGACGATAAGTAAGAATTTATTTCCCATTCTTTAATTCTAAGAAGACATCTTGCTTCCCCTGTTAGTGATATACTGTTATTTGCAGAGTCAGATTTACTGAGTTTAAGGCCTGGGATATTAGTTTGGATTTGCTTCAATAGTTTCATAAAAAAAGCCGAGAAAAATATTAATCATTCGATGATTTTGTATTAATTTCAGTGAGCAATATTCATGTGGGAATAGAACGCATTACACATTTTCTTAAACAGTAAAACATGTCTGCAGAATGCTTCTAGGTCTGTTCAAAAAATGTTTATATTAGAAATTTGAGGAAGAAGGATTCCAAAAAATATAGTTAAGTTTTAAGTATTCAGACTTATACTTTACATTTGTTCTTCAGTGAGACAGCTTTGTTAAATTTGATACACATCGCCAGAAATTTTTATATAACTTTACATTTACCGTTACATTTTAATAACTGAACATGGTCGGTTTATTTTTGAGTTTATTATCATATCAATGTTAAGTTTTGACAGTATGTTGTAATAAAGAGATTGATGTTGATCTAGAAGCTCTACCCCCAAGCTAGTTAGGTAATCAAGTCTAACTACCCTTAATACCTATTGGCTAGCCATACTGCCCTCTAACTATTTTATGTGATTTTAGAGTTTTGATACTGATAAGATCCTAACCATCTTAAATGTAGCTTTCATAGACACCTTAATGGGAGTTTGAATGAGAAATGTAGTCTCGTCAATTTCTGGCTTCATATTCTGCTGAAAATAGGCTTGATTCTAAATTGTGTCTAATTTACAGAGTATACATGAAGTTGAACCCTTGTAAAGGATATGAGGTAATGAATCTCAGGGGACATATTATGTAAGTTGGAATGGACCCCAGTCTATTGTGCGTCAAGTGGTTCTAGTGGCCTCTGGCTCCATAGTGAGGCTTATACTATTGTCCAAGCAGACGAATCAAATACAACCCTGTTCAAAATACTTGTAATAATGAAAAGGATTTGGATTTAAATTTTGTGGATTTTCAATTTTAAACTTGGCCTGTGTTGGATGTTCAGTTTAGTAGCTGTCAGATTTGAAGAAAAACAAAGTCCTTGAGAATCCCTCTGCCATTGAAAAATGTATTAATGCTCACTGGTTTGAATAAAATAGTTGACCAGTTGATTTCACATTGTGGATATTTGAAAGAACTTTGACCAGCCATATTTGATATCTGAGAAATATATGGGCTTGGGTTGTATTAATGGCTCAGTCCACTTGAAAAACAATACAATTTTCTATGAAGCCAATTTCCCTCCACCAAGGAAGCAATAACTCGCTCATGATTTGAATAAGAACCTCATTTCTTTACACATTAAACACTGCCCTGTGTTGAACATCAGGTCGCAATATTTAGACTAATGCTTCAAATATGTTCATCCTGTATGTTTCCCATGCTTGTTTCCAGTGTGATTTTCATTATATTCAAATGTTAAATTTATTTCAAATCTAAGAAACCCAAGCTGTGTATAGGTCCAAGATATATGGGTTTAAGAATTATGTGTAAAGATGAATTTAGTGTTTCATTTTGATTATGCCTACAAGTATGTACTTAATGCACCTAAACTATTTGTTCTATTAAGATTGCTCATTTTGTTGATAGTCGAAGCTTCTTGGATTTCCTAGGTGTGAGGTTTTTATATATATCAACTGGAAAGGGAGTATAAGCTAAAACTGAAACTATAGAAATGATGTCTTGGTTACTGTTGGTGCATCCTCTATTCCTTATAGACCCTTGAGTTGGAGTCAGATCTCCTGCTACATGTGGTTAACCTGTCAAACTGTGCCTTGTTAACTCATGGAATATTTAGGAAGAGAACATGCAGTGCAGGCATTTATAAAGATCCTCAGACACAATACACTCAATAGAATGGTATTGTAAATTGCAAAAATCAGACACATATGGAAAACTGAATATTATACATTCATGATATATACATTTTCAAAATATCTGGTGATGAAGTTGAATCTGTAAGATTGATGGAGGTTGTTATTTGTTCTGTATGTGTTAACCCCAGGACAGTCTCACTTGCTGTGTGCTTGTTTTCACTGTCAACAATGTGACACCAGAGAACTTAACATCAGTTCATTAGTTTTAATGTAAACCCCTTGTACAAATCTTCAACAGACTTCCTACACTGATAGTTCATCTTGAGAACTGATGAACTTTTTTAACAATATTTTTCTATTTTTTTCTATATACACAAATAAGCTTATGATCGTTGCAAACTTCTATCAAAATGCTTATGTTTTTTGGGCTTCTCTGCAGGACGAATTGTTTGATTTTGATCTGATTGAGCAGATTTTCATTTTTTTCATGATTCATGATTTTATGCAAATCTTATGGAACATACATATTTAATTACCTCTTTTTGACCTAGATCGCATATGACATGATTTGCTTTCTTCTTTATAGTTGCCGAATATTGTTTCCTGTATGGTTCATTGCAATATTCTCATCTCATCATCTTGGAATGCCCTGATACATGGGAAACATATTTTGACCTTTAGTTCTTCATTTGGCCCTTAATGCTTCAATTCACACATTATAATTGAAACATCAAAGGCAGTAGATACATAGAAAGGAAAGTAAGAAGTGGTTTCAATGTTCACGGCAGATTGACCACTCTGGTCGTGTTATTCCCCTTATGTATTAAACACATATGTTTTTTGGCAATTATGCATTTTCTGTCATTTGGATAGTTTTGGCGACAGCCATCGTATACTTTCTTGTTGAGCTGATTATATATTATTATTTGCGTATATAGCATTTGTAAAACGTGTAGATAATCCAGCAAGCCAATTTTCTAGTTATTAAGAATTTTATAAAGCCAATTGTTCAATAGGTACACAAAGATTTGGGGATATAATGCCATAGTGTGTAACAGGTGTGAGATGTTGTATAAATGGGGATTAATTGGATAGTTGGCCAGAATG